CATAGCAGCCCAGTAAAGGTCCTCACTAAAGAGACCAGGGGCTGACGCTCAGGGGGCTGAAAGCCTAGCCAGGCTCATACATCATGGACTCTACCTGCCCCAACCCCTGGAACATCAAATGTTGAAGCCAATGACAGAGTGTACCCCAATCCCCATCAAGGAGCCTGCCAGCCAGGGGCCCTTCTGTGAAGCAGTCTACATACTATAAGGTACAGGTCCCCTTCTACAGAGGCAGGCCCCAACTGAGTAATGGCTGGTGTGGTAAAAGCCCACTGGCCAAGGCCCAGCTTCCTGTACCCAAAGGCTTGACAGCACATCTCATGGGTCTTCCTGACTCAAGCCTCTGCGCCACCCCTCTCTGTAGGGGCCTCCAGACCCCAATCTTTTGCAGACTTGACCTGGGTCTGCTGAGCCACTTTTCATGCTACCTCCGGTGTCCACAGGGCAACCCTTGACCTTGCTCTATGATCCTTCCAGCCCCTAGTCCGGGTTCCCCCTCAACTGCACCCTGGTGTCCATGGGGCTTCTCTTCCATGAACGCAGTCAGTGGTCCTACCCCCTAAAGCTCTCCATGACAAGACTACTGTGCCATGGGCTACCACTGGGCCCCCAGGGCAGGCCCTGTGGATTTCTAGAAAGGGAAGCGGCAGAGCACATGTGGTCGGTTGCATGAGCCTGGAGGCTAGCAGGGAATCAGAGCCACTGAATAACCCACAAAATTCTGCAGGCCTCAATGTGGCCACAGTGTGGCATAAGGTTTAGCTTCAACTCAAGGTGACCCACCCCAAATCCAAGCTTTGCAGGCCCCCGGGACCTCAACTTCTGGGAATTTAGAAGTTGGGAACAACTGCATAGTAAATCGACCCCTCAAATCTCTAATGCTTTGAAGGGCAGAGTCAGAATCTTACAAGGCAGCTAATGTGGATGAGGGAGCGAGTGAAGGGATGGGAGAGGCTTCCCTTCCAGCCACCACCACCCTAGCAAGACCTAGACTGTTCCAACTGGTTTTTGTCTAGCGCGGTCCACACATGGGACAGGAGGACCCGGGAAGAGGAGGAAAGAAAAGAATGTCTGGATAGATGGATGCCAGTGGGGGAGACCTGGGCACCTAGGAGGCTACGGAGCAAGAGCAGTTCAGCTTTGAACTGTCCTGTCCTGGGGACTCGTCCACCTACTGCAGCCTGGCCAAAGGACATGGGCCCAGACAAGACTCCCCCAGGAGCCCTGGGCCGCCAAGATTCCAGATGTGGCTCCCGCTCTCTAACCTCAGATGACGACAGAGGAATAGCCCTGAGAGGCCCTCACGACATGAAAATGAGGGGAAAGAAGATCCATAGAGGGAGGGGACAGAACGGATCTCGCATCCCTGCACCCTCCCTGGCCCACTGAGGCCCTAAGCACCACACACTTGACCTCAGGTGGCTTCTGTATTTTGGTCTCTTGACTCTGGGAAACCCTCCCACGTTTGTTCAGTCCAACACCCGACGTGGCAGAGATCCCGGGGCCCCTAGGAGGAGCTGGGTCCTGGCTTTTCGATACAGACTTAAGCCCTGTGACAAGGCAGTGGGCAGCCGCTGTAGGAAGCTCAGGGTTTCAGAGACCCTAACAAGGCCCCAGCCAGCTAAGAGAGCACACAGAGCCCCAGCCTGGACTCCTGCCCCAGTTCTGTCTCCTCAGATGCCGACCATCTACAGACCTTGGCTTCCTCAGCAGCAAAACAGGGTCTGGGAAAGCCAGGGGGATGAGGCAGGAAATTAATCCTCTGGGAGCTGCCCTTCCTCAGACTGGGCTCCTGGGGGAGAGGGGCAGTCAAGACAGTGCAACTAGGCCAGTCTGCAAGTATAATACCTGTGCAGGCATCCCTGCTCCAAAACTGATCACCACCAATGTCAGGGACCTGGCAGTCCTCCAATCTGCCAGTTATGGCAATGAGGAATCCAGGGTAGGACTGCGTTTGAATCTGCAAAAATCCCCCCGTGCTCAAGAGTCTCACTGTGAAGCAATGAAAATGCAGTGTCCCAGCTAGTCTAAGAAATGGATGGCCCCCTAGAAAATCACCTTGCCTCTTGGCCTCACTTTGCACTCCTATAAAATGGGAACGTCCAAGAAATAGCAGCTTCCACTGCTGCTATGACTATACTTAAATAATAATTTATCACACTGGATGAAATATTAATGTTATTGAACTCGTCACTTAATTCCTCATCCCTTCCCAGCTACTCTACCCCAGTGATCTAGAACAGATATCTTTTTTGTGTGTTTTTGTTTGGTTTTTTTGAGACACGGTTTCTCTGTGTAGCCCTGGGTGTCCTGGAACTCACTGTGTAGCCCAGGCTGGCCTCAAACTCAGAGATCCACCTGCCTCTGCCTCCTGAGTGCTATGATCAAAGGCGTGCGCCACCACACCCAGCTCAGAAATCTTAATTATAGGACAGGCTTTTCTTTCTGACCTATGACCCAAAGAATGACAGAGATAGACATCCCACAAGAAAGCTGCAGATGATGAGCCCTGAACTGTGGCCCCACAGCACACCTGAATTCTGTCACCTAAGGGAATTCTGATACCTCAGCCTCCTTGAAAGGGACTGTTCTCCCCAGAGCCCCAGTTGGAATATACAGGTTTGGGGGCCTGGCTGAGGGAAGGGGTAGGTGGACAGTAAGTTAGGTAATATGTTCTCTGTCAGTACTGGGGTGGGGTGGGAGTCCTGGTCGGGTCAGCTGTAAGTCTGAGCTCTGTGGAGAATACACATTTCAGGGGACTTTGGGACCCCCGTCTTTCCTGTCAGACACTTGGGAGTCATTCTTAGCCCAGAATCCCTCTTTAAAACACAAACACCCTCATGCTGTCTGTGGAAAGACTAAATCTGGCCTGATGGACTTGAAAGGAGTTGAGAGGAACTGACTGCAGTCATACCCCACATATATACTGCTCTGAGGACATCCTGTCAGTCCCCTCTGAAAAAGACAGAGCCCAGAAACCTGAAGCAAGACAGACAGGTCGGTTGTAGGACAAGAGGTACCAGCCCTCCAACAGCCTAGTACCCAGTCCAGGCTTCCAAGAGTTAAGACCCAGAGTGAAAGGGGGAGGCAGGTCAGTGCTGGACAGGCGGGCCTGGAGCCCAGGGCCTGCCTCCCCTCCCCCTCCCCTAGGAACAGAGGCCACTTGTTTGGGCATTGGCGGCTGGCTTTGAGCTCAGCCAAGGGAGAGTGGAGTCGGGAAGGAGAAGTCCTAGAGAATGGGAGAGACTCCCCTCCCTCCCGCAGAGGCCCTCGGCCTGGATCATTGCTAGCACCAGTACTCTGAGCCCCTGCTCCCCACCACCCCTTCCTCCAGGACCACCTTTCCTCAAGCTCTAGGCAGGATTCCCATTGGTCTGACTTGCTTTAGCAGCTGTCCTTGGAACATGAAGCCAGGCTTATTGTCGCACCCCTCAGATGTGGAAAGGGTACTCTGGAAAGGATGGAGTGTCAAAGTCACACAGGCCTGGTGGCAGGACTAGAACTCCAGACACCAGATCCCTCGCTGGTCTTACACTGTAACCCATCTTCACAGACATCTAAGGCAACCCTTCCTAAGCCCTGCCATTACCCAGAACTGAAAACCAGGCTGGGATCTGGCAATAAGCAGCCCATATCTGAACCCTGAAGTCTCAAAAAACATGGGGATTTGGATCAGGAGGAAACTCGTGGGACGGGCACACCTCCGCACAAGGGCTGACTCTTGATGAGTGGTGTGTGTGGCTGGACCCCAAGTGATGGGGGACTAAGTAAGGAGGCCTGAATGTCCAAATGAAACCTGGGGGCACTGGGGCCACCTCCATCTCACAGCCATCAGTAGCTTGCCTGGGACATCTCACTTGTACCCTATCCCATTGCAGAGCAGGGTCCCCAGGCCAGGGTCCAAATAAACTCCAACGGGACATGAGTCCCATGGATGAGTGGTCCACACACCTAGCACCCCAGCAGCCACACCACACCCACCTCCTCACCTTTCCTCCAAGTTAAAGAATCCCTTCCTCTGTTACGAGCTCTGCCCTCACCTTGCAGCCAGCTTTTGCAAACCTCCACTTAACTACCAAGGCTCATTCCAGGAATCCTCTCCTCCCCAGCTCTGCACCTGTCCACACCTGTCTCCGGGTTCTGCTGAGTTTCTTTTACCCTGTAATGACGTGACAAGATGCTAGGCTTCCCCTAGCAAGGCAGTCACGGCTCTCCAAGTAGAGGTATCAGGGTCCCTGGGACCCAGCAGCAGTCAAATCCTGACCTGAGTACCCCCCAAGTCCAGCCTGAACCCTCAAACCCCGAGTCTGGGTATTAGGGAAGGTTCCCCAGGACACCGGGTTTAGAGGAACATAGGGCAGAAGCCTACTGTGCTGGGTCCTAACCACCCAGCACCCAAACCTACCCATGGAGATCTGAGACCAAACACCCACCCCGCCGCCCCCTGGCTCTACTGCAAGCCTGCTCCAAGCCCATCCACCCACCCACCCCCAGTCTGACCCCATTCAATGAACACACCCCTCCATTCCCAGCAACTGGGCCAGGTAGGCTCTAGAGATACCGTGCCCCCATTAACTGGTGGAGAATTGAGGTGCTGAGGACGGAAGCAGCCTGCCCAAGGTTACCAACACCTCAGGTCCAGGGCTAAGGTCCTACAGCTTTGCGAGGCTGTAGTGTCCGCGGTCGATCGGGTGGGAGCCTTCATTTCTCAGGTGGGAAAACCAAGCTGCTCGACCACGGGTGGCTCCGGAGCCTGTGAGCCCGCAAGCAGAAGAGCTGACAGCTGGAAGCGGGTGTCACCCAGCTCACCCTCCCTGTCCTTACGGGTCTGGCCGGACGCCTCCACCTCCGGAGGTGACCCCATTTCACTCCATTCCCAGGCAGGAGAGCACACCAGATGACCCCGAGAAAAGTGCCCCAGGCCTCACCATTCCCTTCTGAGGAATGGGGACAGTGCAGGTCACAACCGACGATTAGGAGCCCCCAGCAACCGAACTGACCTGTTTTGAGCAAGGAGAACTCCACGCGGGGGACACGGGTCCCGGTCCCGGTCTGTCACACGCGGCCGCCACCAACTCGCAGCAGCGGTCCGGGCGCGCCCACCTCTCCCGGCGCTTCCGCCCGCCCCACGTGACACCCCGGGGGACGTGAGGGCGGGGAAGGGGCAGGGAGCCTGCCGGTCCCGCCCCCAGTCTAGTGCGGATCCTCAGTCCCCTGGACCGACTTGCCCGCTGGGTTGCCATTCTAGCTTGCTAAGGGGTTGAGGCCCATGTCTACCCCGCCCCTGCCGAGACCCCACCGATCCTTGAGTCTCCTTGCCTCGACACCCCTGTTGTGGTGAGTCTACCCCGGGAGAGCAGACACACCACCTCCAGAGGTTAGGAAGTCACTGGAGGCAGGACCACCACGGCGGGTGACCGATCACCTTCCCTGGGAGTCTTCCTGCACCCTGCTTCTGTCCCCAAGGCCACATCTCCCTGCAGAGGGTGCTGGGAAAGTCCCACCAGAGCCTGGCCGCTTCTCACCTCCTCCCCATACAGATGACATCCTCAGACTTGGCGGGCATTTCTAGGTCCTGGAGCCAGCCAAACCAAAGGCCTTAACTTAGCTGGGCTTCCATTTTTCCATAGTAAATGGGCATATTTAGAAGAACAGCTCTCAGCAGGGTGGGCCAAGGGGTTTGCTCTGAAAGGAGGAAGGTGCCTTTAACCGGAGAGCCTACTCCATGCCTGGCCCAGTGATGGGCCCTTGGTTCTTTTCAGTTCTCAGTTCTCACACTTGCTTAAGGGTAAACGCTATCACCCTAGGTTACAGGCTAGGAAGTGAGAGTCTGCAATTCTTCAGGGTGACCTCAAAGTTACAGACCATTATGGGCAGAGCAGAGCTGGAACTTTCCAGGTGATAGGGTCTCCTGTCTAGGCCCTCTCACCATAGACACTCTTCCTCTGGGAAAAACTTGACCCTGAGCTGTTTTTCCACTGGCAGGGCTTTCCAGGAGAGGTGAACAGGGTCAGATCTTGGGGAGCACTTCCAGACCCAAGTTTTTGTGATGCCAAAAGTACCAGAGCAAAGCAGAGCCCAAGACCAACTCTGGGACTCTGGGCATCCCTTGGGCAGGAGATAAGCCACAGACAGCAGAGGCGGCCTAGGCCTCCCTCCAGATCTCAGAGCAGCCAGGGATAACATTAGTGAGGGCTGGCACCTGGTCCGAGGAGGGGACCCCACGATTCCTGTCAGTACCAGTCTTACACTAACTGCCTCTATGTGCACTGGAAACATGTCTTCACCAGCCCCCACCCTCTCCCTCCTCCAGGACTCACTGCCCTACCTCAGATCTCAGGCCTTCAGCCGTGGTCTTTGACCTATGGGTCCCTCCCCTTCCTTCTGTGATGACACAAGCCAGAGAGTGTGAGAGACCAACAGTCTAGATTGGACCAGAGGTCTGTCACACAGCAAAAAACCTGACCTCTGGTCAGACCAGCTCCTCGTAGAGCCCTGAAGAACAAGCCAACCACCTCTGTGACCAGCAAGGTCAATGTGCAGCTGGACAGGGAGAAGGGAAACAGAGGACAGGAGGAGGCGGCCACCCCCTCCTGCAGTTACACAGCGGAAATAAGATGTCTGCAGGTGCAAAGGGTCCAGCGGGCAAGAATAGTATTCAGGGAAATTACTGCAGAGCAGGCCAGCGCCTTGCCAGGCAGATGAGAAGCAGGCACAAGAAAGGGCTGGCTGGGGCTGTGTGGTTCGTTTATTGGGGCCATGTCCAGCCAGGCCACAGCCACCTGAGCAGGAGCCCAGAGCCCCCGGAAGGCAGGTGGGGGGAGGGAGGAAGTGCAGAAGCTCCGTGCCCCAGGGCGCTGCCCCAGTCCTGTCCTGGTCCTTGCCGAGGGGCTGTCCTCAGGTGAGTGAGGTGTCGTCGTCGCTGCCCTCTCCGCCCGCGCCCCCTGCTCGCTCCTCCCGGCTCTCTGTCACTGCGCTCTCGTCAATGTTCTCCAGGGAGTCCGCGTGTTGGACCGACAGCTCCGACAGCGCCAGGCTGGGCAACGGGCTCTGCTCCGGGTGCAGCCATGGCTTGAAGTGGGGCTGGTGCTTCTGCTTCCACTCGGGGTACTTGATGCAGGCCTTGTACATCTTCTTCATGGCCTGCAGACCGTACGAACGTGGTTGGTTAGGGGTGCCCGGAGGACCCGCACTTCTCCACATCCCTCCAGTGCCCTCCAGTGGTGCACAGCGGTCCCCAGTGTCCCAATTACGGCCCAGTCCATCAGCCAGTTAACTCTGCCCCTGCCCACTGCTACCTGCCCCTCCCTCCACGCCCCAAAGTACAAAGCCACTTACTTACCTTGGGAGCCAGGAACTGAGATGATTTATTCACCACCCACTTGGGTAAGGAGCCTGTGAGGGCAGGGATAGGCCAAGAGGAAAAAGGCAGCCTTAAGCATCTAGCTAGCCCCGCCCATGGCCAGAGTTTGCAGGAAGGCCGCCCCTTTTCATTCCTTGTCAATGAAGTTCTCAAATCCCCCGCGCTCATCTCTGCCCCCCCCCCCCGTCTCTGCCAAGCTTCAGCTGTAGAGAAGAAAACCACAGGGTCCTAGGCGACCACAAATACCTGTGGGTTGCCATCCTGACCCACCAAGCTCCAGCCTGTCACCTTCCTCCCCTCACACTGATTACCCAGGACTGTCCCTGGGGCTCAGCCACTCTCCTGCCTGTCCTCCTGGGCCTCCTCAGACCCCGTAAGCCCAGAAGCCCAGCCTAGGCTTACTTGGAACCCACAGCCCAGCTCTCCATCTGTCTCACTCTCAAGTACCTGCTCTGTATACTCATCAAGGGCCAAGGGCCTGGGCCACTGTGCCCAAGTGACATGGGGTATTCCTGTCAATGACGCTTGAGGTTTAACCATCATTAACTCACTCATTCAGTTACACACTCACTCCACCGTGACACCCGCTCTGAACCAGCCTGGGGAATCCAAACAGGAACTCAATGTCTCAGCAAGGACTGGTGTTCTGCTGGGAGGGGAATGGGCCCACAATGGGCCACAGTTCACTCTGGGAACTGGGGACAAAGGAAGGATCATTTCATGCATCCCTGGAGCACTGAGGAAGAGAAGGAGGTGCAGGCAGCTAGCGGATGATAAAGGCTGTATGAACATCGAGGTGGGAAGTGGAAGGGTGTGGAGGGGCTAGAAACTCTGGGCAGAGGCTCAGGCTATACTCAGAGGGCAACAGAGTCACAGTGGCATTTTAAGCAGGTGAGTCAGAGGAAATAAGAGGTTTTTGTTGTTTCATTTCCTCTAGTAGAGGACCAAGAGAACGATAGGCTAGGAGCTATGTCAGAGGGTGAAAAGGTAAGCACATTCCTGCAATGCCCGGAACTCAGGAGATGGAGGCAGGATGATGATGAGTTCAAGGGCAGCCTGAGCTACAGACTGAGAGAGAAGAAAGGGAGGAAGTGGGAGAGAGGCTAAGTGCTGGGCTTGGGAGCTGACAAGGAGAAGCTGGCCCCAGCTAATTGGCAAGTGCTGAGCAGTGGTGGGTGATCGGAAGAAAGGTGGGTCTAGGAAGGCCAGTGATGAGTTCATAGCTGAATACAAGTCTCCAGTGTCTAGAAGACATCCTGAGGAAGATGTCCAGGAGGCTGACCACCTCAACAGAGATGAGTGCTCAGCTGTCACGGAAGTGAGGTGAGCGGACAAGCTTGGAAAACCCAGGCCTCTGAGATGTGGCTGAAGGAGACAGGGCAGGGCAGGTCCAAGCTAGGAATGTTAGCACCAGGGAGGCAGTTTCCTAGGAGGAGCAATGCCTGCCCTGTAGGTCCATTCCTTTCAAACCACTAGCTTTGGATATAGACACCCCCAGTACTAAGTGGATCCTAACAGCTGGCCCTCAGATGGCCTGGCAAGTTCATGGCCTGTACAGGGCAGGAGCCCGTGGATGGGCTGCCTTGCCAAGCCCTCACCTTTGGGATCCACTTGGGCCAGGTAGGTAATGACACAGCTCTTGGGCCCCGTGCTCTGGATGAGGTAGCCCGTCTGGATGGACACAGCTCGGACCAAGTCTTTCCGAGGTGGGTATTTCTGGGGATGAAAGACACAGGGAGGTGAGACTTGGGTAGGGACAGAGGAAATGTCTCTATGAGCATGCTCTTACACACACACACACACACACACACACACACACACACACACACACACACTCATAACTGTTCACATCCCTTGGCATCAATGGGTTAAGAAAAAGGAAATCAGGCCAGGCCATCCTTGCCCCTCTTACAGCTTTCTCTGTGCCCTCAGTAAAGTACAGGGCTGCGTCAGGGTTTACGAGTGTCTGTGGGCACTCAACCCTTGCCTAGGGCAACCTGCCTGCCCTCTCTGCCCAGGGAGTTCAAGTGAGTCCTGCCATAGGATCCTGCCATCGAGTTCCTGCTCCCCTATTTCTAGGCCAGCCTTATCCCAAGGGCCAGTCAGCCACATCAGTTCAAACCACTCGTCCTTTCCCTGAGCTGCTGGACAGCCCCTGCAGGGACGTCATTGTCCTCACTATGCAGGAAGGAAACTGACCCCCCTGCCTGCCTGAAGTCACTGTGACAGCCACAACCCAGCCCTGCCCATCACCCTTCTGCCCAGCCAGGAGGGAGGGCAGACCTACAACTCACAGGATGTTTTACTGAGTAGTTCATAATGATGTAATCAGCGCCCATGGGGAGCCAGGAACGGAGGGTGATGACATCACGGTTCTTCAGGGGCTTGGGACACCTCCCTGCAGAGGGCAAGGAACAGTTCAGCCCGGCTGCTGGCCCATCTTCTGATAAGGGAGGGTGTGATGGAGACCAGAGACTTGGGGATCCTATTAACTGCCAGCCCTCCCCATCCAGACAGGTACCCCCACCCCTACCATAGACACACTGTGGAATGAGGGAGGACACAGCAGGACCCTTGACCCCGCTATCTCTGCCTACCCTGCCCCTCAGGGCCTCACAGAGCCCTCACCTTATTGTTCTGACTTGTCTGCTGTATAGGTGAATATATTTTAAAGAAAGACAGCACTGTGATTGCATATGCATAAAAATGTGTCTCTGTGGTACATGGCATGTGGCTATGAGTTGTATGTGCAACCGTGTATGCATATGTTTGTGTGGAGGACCTTTTTAAGTGTGTATGTCAGTGAGAACACGTGAGCATGCCCAAGGAAAAGACAGCTCTCGGTCTGAGCATGCCCGTCTCTGAGCAGCCTGGCCACAGGAGTGACCGCAGAGTGGGAAAGTTAGAGGAGGAGGCCTGGTGGGTGCCTGAGGGGGTTGGAGTCTTGCTCTGTGTCTGCTCACAAGAGTAATATCCTACGTCAGCGTTGACCGTCAGGCGGGCGATGTCGAAAGTCTCAATGACATTACTGTCCCACTTCTTTCGGTATTCTATGTCGTGCAGGACATCGTAGAGCGTCTCAGCTGGCACATCACAGCACTCCATCCTGCACTGCAGACAGACACAGGTTGTCAGGGTCACACAGGCACGAGAGGAAGAGAAGACGTAAGACCCGGGCCCACTGAAGCCAGCATGGACTCATTTCTTATCACAAGACTGGTCCAGCTCCCCAGAAACCTCCTGTACCAAAGGACAGTCAGTCCTCCCCCTACCTCTCCCAGCTCAGCCCAGTCTCCTCTTCAGGAATCCTTTTCAGGTGAACCATCCAGGCTCCCACACACTGAATCTCTATGTCTGCCCTCCCCGTGCCCTGGGAGCAGCATGTGGGCAGAAGCTCACAATTAATTCAACAAGGAGCTTGAGATAGGTACACATTAAAGGAAAAAATCAAATGCCCAAATAGACCTTACTACCTGGCCACACTGTGTGTGTGTGTGTGTGTGTGTGTGTTTGTGCGCACGCTTCCACAAACATCTTTGTAATCCCAGCACTTGAGAGGTTGGGACAGGAGGATCCCCCAAGTTCAAGGCCAGCCTGGGTTAGATAATGAATTGCCGGTCATCCTGGCTAGGAGTCTATCTCAGACATGTCCCTATTACTTAGCTGCACCCTCAAGGAGCTTCCCATCTAGGGGAGCAAACCGCTCAGCGCATCTTGCTTTATTTAGGCCTTCCGATGATTATGCCGGTTAAGAAAGTCAAGGAGAGACTTGAGATTCAAAGAGGTTTAGTACCTGCCCTAGGTCACCTGGCTGGTTAAGCAGCAGGGCTGGGATTTAATCCAGCTCACATGTCTGGGAAGCAAGTAAAGAAAGAGCCAGGGTTCACAAGATTTGTATTCAAAAAGGTGAGATTCAGTGCCCTTGTTCTACTCCACCCCAAGCCCAACCCCCAAGATCAAGTTCCCTACAGTAAATGCAACAGCTTTGCCGTGTAGTCTCTAATGCTCTCTCAGAACAGACATTCACCCAACACAGGAAACCCACACATACACACTACCCTCTACCCAAGAGAGAGTTCATGCAGCTTTTGGAGAGGCGGCACCGCCTCCCTCCTCACCCAGGACAGGCCTTGGCACCATGAAAGCACACAATGGGCTGCTCCAGCTGAGGATTCTAAGTACAAGAAACTCACAATGCCCTACACACCACTTCAGATTACAAAAAATAAA